TATGATTATGAGTCACAGTATTGATTTGGCTGGCCTAGCACTCAGGAAAAATTCTCAGACTTTCTGACACGAAACTCAATCAAAGTGACAAAGTTTTCACGCAAAACAAGTCAGCCACCCACCCACGGACCGGATAGGTCTGGGCCTGGGTTCTCTGCTGAGACCTAGCAAGACAGCAAGCCCCCTGCTTTTTTTTTTGTTTTTTTTCGGCTACACTGGCTCGAACGCGGGCGATGCCCGTGTTCAAGCGAAAACTTAGCGAGCACCTTTTAGCAAAGTCACACAGACATACAACCAGTCAATCAATATAATTAGTAATGGTAACAGGACTGAGTGGAGTCCAATTAACAATTAGTTCATGCGTCAGCGTGCGTATGTCGAGATATTGAGCACGCGGGAAGTTTGGAGAGCACGAAAGAGGCGTAAGAGTTGCACGAGGCGCAGCCGAGTGCAACTCTAGCCTCTTGAGTGCTCTCCAAACTTCCCAAGTGCTCAATATCTCGACATACGCACAGCTGCAGCATGAACTAATTGTTTTATAACATTATCAAAGCGATCAATGCAGCAGTTAACTGAAAATTTTATTATTGAAGGGCGCGCTCAAAGCAGTACGCGTCAATGTTTACGTGAATATATCTTTTTTCCTCACAGTTAATCTTATGTTTTTATCCTGAAACTGAGAGAAAGTGTACTCTAAAATGATTGTAAAATCCATATTTAGGTGCCGGAAAACTATTAATTTACCGAAAAATTGTTATTGAGAGAAAACAACTTTGCAAAGAATGAGCTCACGCCATAGCCCGCACAGCTCGCGGAGATGACAACAACAACAACAACACTCACCTCTTTTCCTTACTATCGGTTAACAAATTCAAACGTTTCCTCTTAAATTTCTTTACAAAACACATGGTAAACGCTTCATTGTCTATTGCTGAGTTATGGATGCACTCAAGAGACTCAGGATTGCTAAGCTCACAACAACTCGAGGAATTACGAATAGTTTATTGACGTCATCAGCGTGCTCAATAGGAATATGAAGCACGCTCGCGCTATTGAATTTGATTAGGCGAATTTTCTAGCTATGTTATAATTCGGTCTGTAATCAAACGAATGATTAACAAAATCGGACGACCGCGTAGCGGGAGTCCGATTTGTTTAATCACGAGTATGATTACAGACCGAATTGGACGACACGAAGTTCTGTTACCAATTAATCATAACTTTAACAAAATTTGTGATATATAGGGCTCTTTTTAAAATCAAACCACAAGAAATTTCAAGATTTTTTCGCTAGCAATGAAAAAAAAAAAGCCATTTAAGCGCGCGCGTGATGGCGCGTACTGTCCAATTACTTAGGCATGACGCGTACTGTCCTATTAAACTGTCCTATTAAGGCTGAAATCAGGGCAGTTGAGAACCAATCAGATTTGAGAAGTTTGTTATAATTATGATTAAGCATAGAATAAGCGCAGCAGTAAGCGAATAGCTTCGATTTCATATCGACTCATTTGCAAGTACTGATACTGCGTGTCTTAAAGCTGCTGTATTCCAGCCTCGTTCCCAGTCGTCCTCGGCGATTTCGGATGTGACGTCACCTGTCAAGCTTGTCGGAAAAATTCGCTATCGTGCTCCGTTCCAAGCCTCCTCTGGTCACTCGGATAGCGCCAACAGGCCTGGGTACGAAGCTGGCTGTATTCACTATCGCAAGAATTGTGTGGGCGAAAGTATCTTTTTTGTGACTTTGTGAACAAAAGGACAAGACTCACGTAAGCGTTACTGTGCCCGGCGGAGATAGGAAAATCCGGACCGCGTAAAGAACCAATCAGCTTGAAGAATTCGTTACCGTGCCCTCTTGGACAAAAAATAGGTAAGTTTTATTCACTCAAAGGCTTAGTTTATGAATTGAACATCTTTTCAAAATTTTTTCGAGACGATGAAATGAATTTTACACATGCACACGCAAAAGGGTAAAAGCTTTTCTGTATCAACTTTTTTCTTTTCAAAATATTAGCTAAAAGAAAAATCATAAAAATCATAAAAACTAGTTCAAAGCTTATATGACAACACATTACAATAAAAACAATGTTTTTTGAAGCGAAGCTTTCTTATCATCACTGTCCCTCAAAAGTCCAAGTCTTATCCATCGTGGAACCGCTTTGGCTAAGCTAGTAGGGATTCCTCTATAGTAAGCTTTGAGGACTGATGAACTCTGTTTACGTTGATGGAATAGAAGCCTCCTTCAATTACAGCCACGAAAAATCTATCAACCGATCGAACCGACGTCCCCAAACCTTTTCGACATCTTGAAAATGAAAAGGTGGCTTGCCATTTTTCGCGCCAAAAGTGAGGTGGTTTCCCGTACGACCGACCGTACGATCAATTTTCAATGTGAAAAAGTATCGTTCATTCAATCAGACGCCGCGAACGGTGTTTTTTCACTAGTGAAAGTTCACCGTTCGCATCGCTGATTGCATTGGCTGAGACTAAACACAGAACAATGTTTTCATCACTGTCATTCTGTGAGTAAATCTCAGTACTTATATAATAAAAAAAAAGGACAAGCCGAAGATTGGACGAAGGTGATGAGATGGTACATTCACAGAGGATTCAAAGAGGGTCTTAACCGATAGTCGTAAAACGGCCATAAATTTAGTCGATAGCCGTAAAAATTGAGAAATTTTAACCGTTAGCCGTGAATAGGGTAAAAAAGAGTTAACCGTAAAAGAAATTGTTCCCTAGATTTGCTACTTTTAAGAAAAGTACTTAACTCACTTATGGTTGCGTTTTTTTATTTCCCGGCTAGTGTGACTCCGTACGCACGTACGTTAGGCGAAGCACAGGCGGCCCAAGCTCAGTGTGTGAGTTTAATCGTTAACACATGTAGTTTCATATTGCGTAATTTAAAATGGCCGTGAATATAAAGGATTTGTATGGGAATTCAGGTAAAAGATTCAAATCGATAAATACTCGCTAGAATGTTCAATAAAATACAGCTTACCGTATTTACTTTGCTTGTTTTTGTTTGCTGTGTGGTTATTTTTCCGGTCCATTGCGATTTAAGCGATTTCCTTTAACCCCGAGTTTCCACTGTAAGAGAAAGGACAAGGCTTCACACTCCAGTTCGGGATGCCCCATGCGAGAGGCCAAAAATCCTCAGCTGGAAATGGCCAAGCAGCCACAAATCAAACGCCGAATCCAAGCCAATATGTCCTTGTTTCATTTCATCTCATTAGCCGAGCAATCCGGCCACTGCAACCGACGCCAAGCGGTTTATATTCACGGCCATTTTAAATTACGCAATATGAAACTACATGTGTTAACGATTAAACTCACACACTGAGCTTGAGCCGCCTGTGGGCGAAGCGCCCTTTAGGTGCTAACCAAGACCTAGGCTACATTTCCGGCGCTCTCTCGAGGGACTAATTTTTTCCATAGCGAAAGTGTGGCTTGTTGCTGGGGATTAACATTTGCAATTTTCAGGAGGCCGTGCCCTCGAAACACTAGTGAAACAACACGCAGAGATGTCACTGTTTGTAAAACACGTTGCCGATAAACAAAATTTCCCTGTTTTTCTCTGACGCTACGGTAGACATTATGCATAGTCCCTGTACGGCGTCTTCTCACGGTGGCGAACTCGCTCGGATTACTTGACCCGAAACGCATTAGCCCCGCGGAATAATTCGGCCTACGGACAAGGCAACGGCAGACAGTCGTTCCGTACAGTCCCTCACTATCATTAAAAACACTAGACACAGGAATTTTCTTATTGGCCCTTTTCTCACTAGAGCTAGAATGGATCATCCGTTTGGGACTAGCCTGTGTACAGTCTCCCCCTCCTCCACAGACACCCCTTCTCCGACTTTTTTCTGAGAGGAGGGGGCGGCTGTACACAGGCAACATGGAACGGATAATCCCGTCTTCAAAAGTCAGGCGGATTGTTCATTCATAATTAAGACTATTCCATTTTTAAATTAAGACGTGTTACCTATCTGACGCGAATCATCAAACGGATAACCTGTCTCACACGAATAATCCTTCTCTAGTGTGAAAACGGCCATTTCTGTTATAATGAATGTCGCGCCCCGGCCTTGAGTTGGGCGTTCGCGTGTCTGCTTTTGCTTTTTCACAAACTAAGATTATTTTTAAATTGACTATTGACATTTCTATGTGTAAAATAATATTAGAAGTGGAATACTTTATAAAAAGTATCATCTATCAATATGATCTATCAAATGTTAAAATTTTTCAAAAGAATAGCTTATTTCATCCCGAGATGATCCGACGACCTTTATTTTGATTTAAGGATACAAAAAAATACAGGTTACTTAATATTTAACTTTTTGAAACAAAAGAAGTTAATTTTTAACTTTTTCATTAACCGTAACTGAAAAAATTAACCGATAGCCGTAAAAGAGCCAAAATTTTAGCCGATAACCGTAAAAGCCACCACCCAATTGAGACCCTCTTCAAAGGATTCTTTCTCGCCAGCATCAATCGTTCTGACAGATAGCAATTCACGCTATACCAAGCCCACCTCGCAACAACAAAGACTAGTGCGTGGGTGATCAGAAATTTTGTATCCAACCGGGCACAATTCAGCTCGCACAAAAGTGTCGTCCTCAGTCAGACAAGTCTCAGTGATCGCAGCATGGTCAGCCTCACTCTATTACGCATGGGCTATCATCAGGCATCTGTATGCTCAAGACCTTACATCCTTGTAACGAACGTAGAAGCTGAGGGCTTACATAAAATGTTTCTTTCAGTCAGCTGTGAAGATTGACTATCTGAAATGCAAACCAAGCAAGAGGTTATTTTAAGTGGGATCGATCACACGATATGCATGGTTAACTTTAATTTGTAACAATGCTTTGAGAATGCCTGGGACCAACAAGAACAACAGAAAGGAATTTTTTAAATACATTGTATAAACTTGACATCCCTGAACATATTATTTGATATTATTTGTAGTGGCAGTGGAAACAAGTTGACAAAAGTGAACGATGGAGAAAACGAGTGACGCCACTTTAGAGAGTCCAAGTCGTGGAAATGACCGGCGAATTCTGATCATTTTAAGTGTCTTCATCTGCTTTGTTGCTGTTGTCATTTTGGTTGTTGCTGCTATAATGTTATCATTGATAATATCTCGAATTGACAATGATAATGATGATGATGCTAAAGTATCAGAACTTGACGCCGCGGTGCAGGGTAAGCACACGTTACAACTTTTAAAAGTCCGGCTGTCTACTCTTAAAACTCTCAACTAGCGATCAAAAGCTTTTTAAACTCACACTATCATGTCCCAGTATAGTCCACTCTTTTTTAAGAGTCTTTTGCGTGCGCTTGTCTTGCAGTAGGTATCCCAGCTAGGATAGATATAAAAGAGAAATTTGTTCCCCGAGAAATTTTAAGTTTGGTTTTCATTTTCTTTCCTAATCAAGGGGACACACATCGACTTCTTTTTCCTGTAAAATAACTATTAGAAGGGGCAAATATTATCTCTAATTTCTAAGCGCGAGAAAAACTAGAAATTTCCGGATAACAATTTCATTCGTATCAGATATTTGGAGTTCTTCTACTGAAGTAGCTACGATTTTTGGAGTTTGTGTTCTTCATATTTATTGCCAAGATATTGAGATTGTTGTTATAAAAAAGGTTTCCTAAAAATTCTGGTGTCGACTCAAAACATCCCCCAGATATGAATCTTCTTACGTAATAAAGTATGGCTACTCTACTTCCTGGAACTCATCACCGTAAAACGAAAAGCCAACTCAAGCTTTCGATGCGGCCCACGTTTCTCTAAGACATCCGAACAGATATAAACAGCCGTTTTAGGGCAGCTCGGCTGCAAATAAACTAAGCCTCTGTACGTTTGGGTGGGGCCGCTTCCGATCTATAGCCATTTATTTTACGATTTGCACTGATTTAGTTTTTCTACTTAAGCTTTCAATCAGCTTTCTTTCCCTGCTTTTACCAAATTACAAAGTCTCGATACAAATTACGGCGGCTGCTAAACTGGATTGAATAATTTGCAATTTTTGGCTTAGAATTGTTATTAAGCCGGCAATCATCACAGATAAAAACAACCGAGCTGCAGTTTATGTTAGAAGGTCCCTGACCGTGTACACCCCATTGCTTTAATTTTTTGTTGACAAATTGTGACTCCATAAAGTAATGCGATGTTTTTATTGGTCAGTAAGATCAAAATAATGGGAAAGCTATTTATTGAACGCTGTGCACAGTAAAGCCTAAAAACGTTAATACATAAAACATTAACACAGGACTTTTTTTGACGACCTTCATTAAGATTGCACTTTATGATTTATGTAAGATTGCATAATCGTTAAAGCTGTCCACATCATGCTCAATGTTTTATACTATCAATGCTGATTCTCAATGCTCAACAAATCCAACTCATTATTATGCTCAGAAATAAATAGCAATGTAATTTAATTTTTATCATCATTGTTTAAATATAATTTAGCAAATTTCATTACAAAAGAAACAGGCAACATGACAGCAATATGTATTACAACAGTGCTTTCGTAAGTAAAAAAACGTAAGCAAAACAAAAAATAAATAAATAAAATATATGATATGCACTATAATGATAACACTGTTTACAATTTCAAAAACTGAGTTATTGATCTTAGCTAAAAACACCATTATGCTCCATAACGAAAACGAAGCAGCGAAAGTGATGAGCTGATACATTCACAGAGGATTCAAAGGATTCTTTCTCGCCAGCATCGATCGTTCTGACAGATAGCAATTCACGGTATACCAAGCCCACTTCGCAACAACAAAGACTAGTGCGTGGGTGATCAGAAATTTTGTATCCAACCGGGCACAATTCAGCTCGCACAACCGTCGTCCTCAGTCAGACAAGTCTCAGTGATCGCAGCATGGTCAGCCTTACTCTATTACGCATGGGCTATCATCAGGCATCTGTATGCTCAAGATCTTACATCCTTATAACGAACGTAGAAGCTGAGGGCTTAAATAAAATGCTTCTTGCAATCAGCTGTGAAGAATGACTATCTGAAATGCAAACCAAGCAAGAGGTTATTTTAAGTGGGATCCATCACACGATATGCATGGTTAACTCACTTAATTAATTTGTAACAATGCTTTGAGAATGCCTGGGACCAACAAGAACAACAGAAAGGAATTTTTTAAGTACATTGTATAAATTTGACATCCCTGAACATATTATTTGATATTATTTGTAGTGGCAGTGGAAACAAGTTGACAAAAGTGAACGATGGAGAAAGTGAGTGAGGCCACTTTAGAGAGTCCAAGTCGTGGAAATGACCGGCGAATTCTGATCATTTTAAGTGTCTTCATCTCCTTTGTTGCTGTTGTCATTTTGGTTGTTGCTGCTATAATGTTATCATTGATAATATCTCGAATTGACAATGATAATGATGATGATGCTAAAGTATCAAAACTTGAGGCCGTAGTGAAGGGTAAGCACACGTTACAACTTCTTCAAGTCCGGCCCTGTACTCGTAAAACCCTCAACTAGCGATCAAAAGCTTTTTAAACTCACACTATATCATGTCCTAGTATAGTCCACTCTTTTTCAAGAGTCTGTGCGCTTGTCTTGCAGTAGGTATCCCAGCTAGGATAAGTATAAATAACAAATTTGTTCCCTGAGAAATTTCAAGTTTTGTTTTCAATTCCTTTCCTAATCAAGGGGTCACACATCGACCTTTTTCCTGTAATATAACTATTAGAAGGAGCAAATATTATCGCTAATTTCTAAGCGCGAGAAAAACTAGAAATTTCCGGATAACAATTTCATTCGTATCAGATATTTGGAGTTCTTCTACTGCAATAACTACGATTTTTGGAGTTTTTGTTTTTCACATTTATTACCAAGATACTGAGATTATTGTTATAAAAGAGGTCTCCTGAAAATTCTGGTGTTGACTCAAAACACCCCCCAGATATGAATCTTCTTAAGTAATAAAGTATGGCTATATAGCTACTCTATGTCCTGGAACTCATCACCGTAAAACGAAAAGCCAACTCAAGCTTTCGATGCGGCCCACGTTTCTCTAAGACATCCGAACAGATATAAACAGCCGTTTTAGAGCAGCTCGGCTGCAAGCGGCCGCTTCCGATCTATAGCCATTTATTCTACGATTTGCAGTGATTTAGTTTTTCTGCTTAAGCTTTCAATCAGCTTTCTTTGCCTGCTTCTACCAAATTAAAAAGTCTGGATACGAATTACGGCGGCTGCTAGACTGGATTGAATAATTTGCAATTTTTGGCTTAGAATTGTTATTAAGCCGGCAATCATCACAGATGAAAACAACCGAGCTGCAGTTTATGTCGGAAGGTCCCTGACCGTGTACACCCCAATTTTTTTTGCTTCATTTTTTTTTTTTTTCACAAATTGTGACTCCATTAAGTGATGCGATGTTTCTACTGGTCAGTAAGATCAAAATAATGGGAAAGCTATTTAATCGAACGCTGTGCACAGTAAAGCCTAAAAACGTTATTACAAAAAACATTAACACAGTACTTTTTTGACGACCTTCATTAAGATTGCACTTTATGATTTATGTACCATTGCATAATCGTTAAACCTGTCCACATTAAATGCTCAATGTTTCATACTATCAATGCTGATTCTCAATGCTCAACAAGTGCAACTCAGTATTATGCTCAGAAATAAATAGCAATATAATTTAATTTTTATCATCATTGTTTAAATAATTTAGCAAATTTTATTACAAAAGAAACAGGCAACATGTATTACAACAGTGCTTTCGTAAGTAAAAAACGAAAGCAAAACAAAAAAATAAATAACATATATGATATGAACTATAATGATAACCCTGTTTGCAATTTCAAAAACTAAGTTATTGATCTTAACTAAAAGCACCGGTATATTCCATAACTACTGCAGGAGCCGCACTAGTAATACATTTCTCGCAAACCCTCAGTGCGAAACCCGGCTTAATATGATCCCACTCGAGTCAAGCATTGACGGGCAAGGTTGGAGACTGGATGGGTGCCTCGTGTATCGTGAAGACCCCTTCAAGCTTCTTTCTTTCCTTTGTTCTAATGTTTTCTTTTGCAAGTGATCTTTATTTTTTTGTCCTTTTTTTGTTCTTAACTATGCATTGGAAAGCATATTTGGCAGTATTTCGTCCACCAGATGGAGTACTTATGCCCAGAGAAGCAAACTCACCTGTGAAGTGGAGAGGGACAATTTAACTGACAACTTTCGACTTAAATCGCTCTTATTTCGCTCTTTTATTCGTTAGTCCGAATCGTTTCAATTCTCTCTTTAGAAAAGTTTTATCGTCAAAGTTCATTGCCTAAAGTACTTTTTGATCGCCGCAGAAACAACGGACCAAGTTATTTATTTTTCTATTTGATGACGTCATTGCAGACTGCTACAGATATATACTGACTGATGCAGCCAACAGACCACGTCCGGGTACAAAAAACTCATGAGGCCTAATGCAAAACCTTTCTTGTGAAAATGAGTTTTATTTCCGCGAGGATGAAAAATCATTTCCATAAGAAAGGACGAGCACTTAACCTCGTTTTGATACAGAGGCCCGAGGGAACTCGGAAATGGCCTACTCTCCGGCTTCTGTCTCGCTATACGATCCACTCGCCAGGCACCTTCCACGCGTGACACTGTCTTTCACCAAACCCTCTCCCCCCCCCCCCCAAAAAAAAACATTAAACAATTGTTTCAGAATATTCATGGAAGGACTGCGTACTCCTTAGAACATCTGCCAAATAAAAACATATGCAAAATTTGGGGGTCAAAATAGAGTAAGACTGTCAATTTCGACAAAATTACAAAACCTTGGTAACGCGCCGGTTGTAGAGTATATAAAGGTCATTTTCAAAACGAATGACTGATAAATACTTTTCTAAAATTAACGTCCAAAACGTAGAAAATTTGTCTGAACTAAGTCCAGCCTTCAGTTCATGAATAATATACACACTTTTTGAAGAAACTTCAAGATCTCTCAAAATTCCTCTTATAGATTTTTGCACGACAGTGGACAAACACCCAAAGTATAGGTAGCGTCAAGCATTTCTAAAGAAAATGACGATGAGGGCTGAAATTCGATTTAGAGCTTAAACTTTTGTGACGTCATTGTAACGTTATTTTTATTCCGATCGCCCAAAAAATGATATCATAATATAGGTTAGTCTATGTGTAATATATGTGTTATAATGGTTTTACAATAAAGATAAGTTTGTTTAAGTCTAAGAGATTCAAAAAAGGGAGGTGTAATACAAAAATACTGGGTGGATTGGCCTGGGCAAAGGGTTCAAGTGTTTTTTTCTCGGATCAGAGAATGACCCGGGGCAGGTTTTCCCATATAAATGGGGCCTCAAGGCCCTTCTGGCAATCCAGGTGACACAAGAGATATTAGCAGTAGCATGCTTACGGCCAAAAAGGGAAGAAAAGCCAAAATGAAAATAAGCGACCATTTCCCTAAACAGCTAAGAGACCTTTTCCATTTTCTTAGTTTCTTTTTCTATGTGCATATTTTATTATCGGCTATAATGGTACCCTAAAACTTGAAATCAGTTTAAAATTTGAACGTAACTGTGCTTACAATTAAACCACGATCGCTAGCAATGTACAATGCTATTCGGAAACATTTTGTCTTTTTCTGAGATATAGACTAGTGTGAAATCAGCATCCATTCACGTGATGTGAATGCGTTTTGTAACAATACCATTGGATCTTACAACTGCACTTGCAATCCTGGGTACTTTGGAAATGGAGAAGGGTGTCTTGGTAATTGTGCTTTCGTACTGAAATAAAAGTTTTAAGTTAAACCTTAAACTAAACGTCTTGCAGAGTTTATCACAAGCCAGTACCCGTCCTTTATTCCTGTTGCCTTTACTAGCTTTGATCCTGATATCCAGCAAACCCGTTGAATTCTCTGCTTGCGATAAAAAATAATTGCTTAAAAGGAGCTTAAAAAGTTGGAACTCTTTTATGTTACATAATCCTGATGACCAAGCAAAGAGAAACATTAAAATTCAAGTACAGAATGCTCAGTATGTTGTTAAGTTCTGCCTCCTTTCCGTATGTCAAAAATTAAACCCTTTTCTTCTCCATCTTTTCAGATATTAATGAGTGTATGACCAACGTCCATAACTGCGATGTCAATGCTTTCTGTAATAACACTGAGGGATCTTACAACTGCACTTGTATCTCTGGATACACAGGAAATGGAACATCATGCACCGGTAAAACATCAAGCCAAATGCATTTTTAAATGACCGTATCAGGCATCCTTGTTCAGACTGCAGGCTAAATCAAGTTTCTACTGCGGCAATAGCAATATTTGTTTGGATCTGTTTAAATATTTTATCTTGATACTTTTTAATAATCCTCTCTTTTCAGATATAAACGAGTGTACAGCCATCGCCCATAACTGTCACGTCAATGCTTTCTGCAATAACACTGAGGGATCTCATAATTGCACATGCAGCCCCGGATACACAGGAAATGGAACATCATGCCGAGGTAAATTATCAAGCTAATTTCATTTTATAGTGACTATATCCCTAGTCTGACTGGGGAACTATACAATTAAGTTTCTGCTGCGATATTTGCAATATTTTGGGGGTTTGTTTTGTGTTATCTACTTTCTTAATACTTGTCTCTTTTCAGATATTAACGAGTGTACAGCCATCGCCCATAACTGTGATGTCAATGCTTTCTGTAATAACACTGATGGATCTCATAACTGCACATGCAGCTCTGGATACACTGGAAATGGAACATCATGCACCGGTAAATCATAAGCTATACCCAGTGCATTTAACACTATATGATCTGCGCGATACGGAAGCCGCCCATCAATAGCGTGCTTCTAAGTTAAGCTATAATTTGAACTGTAGCCCCTTTGAGTTATCGATACAGCAAAATATAACTCACTTATCATAAACTTTCATCGAAAAATGGCGAAAACAAAAAGACGTTACTTAAGTTAGTCCGAAACTGAACTATAATGGAAGATTTTCAATGTAACTTTAAAAGTTTCTAGGATTTTCCTGTTGCGTTATTAGCAATTGTATTTGTGCTTGGTTTGGCCGGGTTTGTTTTGTTCTATCCTACGACGTTCTTACTCTTTCTTACTAACTTGTGTTTGGTTTGGTTTGGTTTGTTTTATCTTGGTTATACTTTCTTACTAATTCTCTCCTTTCAGATATAAACGAGTGCACCACTAACGTCCATAACTGTGATGCCAATGCTTTCTGTAATAACACTGATGGATCTCATAACTGCACATGCAGCTCTGGATACACTGGAAATGGAACATCATGCCGTGGTAAATTATCAAGCCAAATGTATTTTAGGGCGGGGCTATGCCACCACACACTGAAAACATAAGATCTAAGGGCCAATCAAATTGGCATATATTTTAACATCAAAATGTCAAATTATGGCGTCACACTTTCTGACGTCTTTCATTCGGTGAATCTTAAACTTTGGAATCTCCCAATTTTTTTATAACAATTTTGAAAGAACTCTTAAAAGGAAGTTGAAAGCTGATAAATTTTGTCCAATATCTCAAATATGAGCTGAGATATTTCATTTTGAATTTGGATAATTTCGTAAATTCAAGCGTTTTGTTGCCGTGTCACACCATTGCTATTTAAGGTAAACATGACAGATCAAATTCGTGTTGAAAAAGTAAATTCCTAACTGCGCAAAAACCAAGAAAATAGTTTTGTGACGCCATAAAAGGTCACGTGATCAGTTTTTTTTAAAAAAGTAAATTTGCTTAAATTAGCGTTTTTAAGTCAAAAAATGAACATCTCAAATAAAGGAGGATATTGCCATCTTCCCGCCACATGGCACGCATTGTTGTCAAGATTGGGTTATTTAGAATGTTTAAAGTATAATGACTATAATGGAGTGGATTTCTGTCTCAGTTCTCAATCGACTCATCCTTTGATTACCAAAATGAATAATTCAAAAACACCGGACCATGCATACAACAGATAAGCAGCGACACATGACAAAAGAAAAGTCGCACGGTCAAAACTTACTGAAAACAGGACAAGTTAATCAAGAAACATTCTTTCCTCCCAATAAGGCGCAAGGCACGCTTGGAATATTGTAATATCCTCCTTTATCTGAAATGATACGATTTTGGGCAACTATAAAAGGTTACCGAAACATCAGCTTATTTTTCAAAAAGGTAAAGCATCAATCAAAAGGATTTTTTTTAAGAAAAAGTATGGTTCGGCAGGTTGCACTAAAATATTTTCAAATTCCCATAACTCGAGTTTTACGTCTCGGAGCGAGAAACGTGTTTCCAGCGCTTTACTCTCCTTTCTAATTCTCTTTCAGATGATGTAAGTTTGATATTGAGATTAAAAAACTCATTCAACCTATTTGGTGACGTAAGCCCGTTGTGAGGTCATAATTTGACGTTTTGCGTCAAACGAAAACTTCAGTAAAATTTCCTGGTCTACAATCGAAGTATATCTGGCAAGTTGGGTCAAGAAATGAAAAGAAATGTAAAAGATACGTAAATGCAGCCTAAATGATAATTTTGAACGACTGTTTAGCCCCACTGTGTTTAGAATTTCCATATCAGGCATCCTTGCTCAGACTGCTGGCTAAATTAGGTTTATGCTGCGATTTAGCATAGGGGGGTCGGGGGAGTGAGCGACAATATCTTTAAATCTACTTATTAAAATGTGGCGAAATTTGGTAGAAATCCTGTTCATATCACACTCAAGTTAATGAAAGCGTCAAAATATCTTTTGAACAAAGGAGTTTTGTGATTAATTAAGATTTCCATGAAAGCAATTCTCCTGAAGAAATGATCAGGATTAGGGCGCCAACCTCAACAACAAGCGCTGGTAGTGCCTTACGGTGAAATGCCAAGAAAAGGCCCAAAGTAACCACACCTAGACCTCGCTGACGTTTTCTTATCGTGCAAAGTCTCCGCCCAAACGGATAAAAATTGAAAAAGAGAGGCCACTTTTTCATGACAGCTAACCCGGAGAGCAAAGACATTCCGATCGTTAATTCTCAGACGCCAGGTTTACGATCAGTGCATCTTACCAATAGTCACCTACCGATCTGAGACCTGGAATCTTTCAAAACAACAAACCTTAAAACCTTGAACTATGTGGAGAGTCCACGAAAGAATCAAGCTAAACATCACATGGCGAGATCGTTAAACAGCTCAATGGATCCGAGAAAAAAACCAATGTACGAGATATCACGGAAACGATAAGCAAACTCAAATGGAATTGGGCTGGTTATGAGGCGAGAGGAACAGACAACCGTTGGACAACCCGCACCATGTTCTGGACTCCACGAGGGTACACAAGGAACCGAAGAAGGCCAAGGAGGAGATGGAGGGACGATTAAGATAGTTTTTTTACAACGCTGGCATAGTGTTGCGCGCTAGGTGGTCTAGTGGGGGTCAATGGGGAAGCCTACGTCCAACGACGGACATTCAACGGCTGAAACTGAACTAAACTGATATCAGTCGTCCCTGTTTATGCAGACCGCAGGCTTTATTAAGGCTCTAAAGCGATATTAGCAATGCTAGCTATATTTTTTTGGGATTTGTTTACATGTTTTATCTTGATACATTTTTTTAAATAATTCCTACCTTTTAGATATAAACGAGTGCACAACCAGCGTCCATAACTGCGATGCTGATGCTATCTGCAATAACACTGAGGGATCCTTCTGAAAGCGTCGTAATCAAATAGAGTTACTGACAATGAAATGCATACATTCAACACTTTCAGAATAACTCAGCGAGTTTGACTTGTGGAGAATCTAAACTTTAATATTTTGATTTCGTTTTTCACTATTTAAAATAACTTTTGCAGTTTTTTGAAGGTTTAGGTCAAGTAAAAAAATTCTGATCAGACTTACAAAACTACGCATTTCTTGTCAAGATACCTTTAGAAACTAAAACAACAGTCGGCTGCAACATTTTTTTAACTATGACTATGAGTATCTTGTTGAAAACAAGTTGGCCCTCGTAAGACAGAATCGCTTTGATTTAAGCTTAATACCGGCTATGAAAAAATGTATCATATGGCCTTGGTAATTGTCCTTTCGTACTGACTTCATCACTGGCACAAGCTAGTACCGCGGGACGGGATGGAGCGATTTGGAAGTGGTCGTCCCTTATTCCTGTTGCCTTTATTAGCTTTGATTCTGATATCCAGTAAACCCCTTGAATTCTCTGCTCGCGCTAAAAAAATTGCTTGAAAGCAGCTACAAAAGTTGAAACTCTTTTATGTTTCATAATCCTGATGACCAAGGAAAGAGAAACACTAAATTTCAAGTACAGCATGCTCAGTGCTGCCTCCTTTCTGTTTGTCGAAAATAAACCCGGCCCTTGTCTTCTCCATCTTTTCAGATATTAATGAGTGTATGACCAACGTCCATAACTGCGATGTCAATGCTTTCTGTAACGACACTGATGGATCTTACAACTGCACTTGTATCTCTGGATTCACTGGAAATGGAACATCATGCACCGGTAAATCATCAAGCCAAATGCATTTTAAATGACCATATCAGGCATCCCTGATCGCAGACTGTAGGCTAAATTAGGTTTCTACTGCGGTATTAGCAATATTTGTTTAGATAAATGTTTTATCTTGATACTTTTTAATAATCCTCTCTTTTCAGATATAAACGAGTGTACAACCATCGCGCATAACTGTGATGTCAATGCTTTCTGTAATAACACTGATGGTTCTTATAACTGCACATGCAGCCCCGGATACACTGGAAATGGAACATCATGCCGTGGTAAATTATCAAGCTAATTGCATTTTAAAGTGACTATATCCCTATTCTGATTGGGGAACTAAATTAAGTTTCTGCTGCGATATTAGCAATATTTTGGGGGGTTGTTTTGTTTTATCTAAATACTTTCTTATTCCTTTCTCTTTTCAGATATTAACGAGTGTACAACCATCGCCCATAATAACTGTGATGTCAATGCTTTCTGTAATAACACTGATGGATCGTATAACTGCACATGCAGCTCTGGATACACTGGAAATGGAACATCATGCACTGGTAAATCATAAGTTATACCCAGCGCATTTAACACTATATGATCTGCTCGATACGGAAGCCGCCCATTAATAGGGTGCTTCTAACATTAGCAGTGATTTGAAACTGTAGCCCCGTCGAGTTATCAATACGGCAAAAAAGAACCTCACTTAACCTAAAATTCTTCGCAAAATGGCCAAAACAGAAAGATTTTATTTAAGTAAGTCAAAACTGAACTACAAAGGAAGATTTTTAACTTTAAAAGTTTCTAGTTCTTTTTTATTACGTTATTAGCGATGTTTGTTTTGTTTTATCTTAGTTATACTTTCTTACTAATTCTCTCCTTTCAGATATAAACGAGTGCACCACTAACGTCCATAACTGTGATGTCAATTCTTTCTGTAATAACACTGATGGATCTTACAACTGCACTTGTATCTCTGGATACACTGGAAATGGAACATCATGCAACGGTAATCATCAAGCCAAATGAATTTTAAATAGCCATATCAGGCATCCCTGTTCAGACTACAGGCTAAATTAGGTTTCTATCGCGCTATAAGCAACATTTGTTAGGAGCTGTTTAAATGTTTTATCTTAATACTTTTTAATAATCCCCTCCTTTCAGATATAAACGAGTGTACAACCATCGCGCATAACTGTGATGTCAATGCTTTCTGTAATAACACTGATGGATCGTATAACTGCACATGCAGCTCTGGATACACTGGAAATGGAACATCATGCCGTGGTAAATTAACAAGCTAATTGCATTTTAAAGTCCATATCCCTATTACGACTGGGGAACTAAATTAAGTTTCTCCTGCAATATTAGCAATATTTTGGGAGTTTGTTTTGTTTTATCTAAATACTATCGTAGTTAATACCTCTCTGTTTTCAGATATTAATGAGTGTACAACCAACGTCCATAACTGTGATGTCAATGCCTTCTGTAATAACACTGATGGATCTCATAACTGCACATGCAGCTCTGGATACACTGGAAATGGAACATCATGCCGTGGTAAATTAACAATTAACGGGGCTGTGTCACGGCAGTCCTATTCATTTTGTAATTACTCGATTACTTGAATTACTCGCCCTCAATCGCTATGGAACTTAAAGTAAGCAAAGAAATTACATGTTACATGTAAATGACAAATCAGAGATCCGAGACAAACAAATATGTCTCCTGAGCATTATTTTTGAAGTTGCAAGCAGTAGGGATCAACTTTGGAAAACTGTACATGTTAGGCTGAACAGTTTGCAAAAATCCTAATTTCAATCCGTTTCAACCTTCTTCAGTTTTGCCCATCCGTGGCATCTGTTGTTTCTGTTATGTTATTTTAACCTTCCTTTAAAGTTTTAAGCGGTTATTTTTATGTTTCTCTTAATTTAACGGGCATTTTGTAATTTCCTAATTTGGCTGAATTTTGTGACACAGCGCCTTTAAGCTAATTGCATTTTAAAGACCATAACCCTATTATGACTGGGGAACTAAATTACGTTTCTGCTGCGATATTTGCAATACTGACATTTTGGGGGTTTGTTTTGTGTTATCTACTTTCTTATACTTTTCTCTTTTCAGATATTAACGAGTGTACAACCATCGCCCATAACTGTGATGTCAATGCTTTCTGTAATAACACTGATGGATCGTATAACTGCACATGCAGCTCTGGATACACTGGAAATGGAACATCATGCACTGGTAAATCATAAGCTATACCCAGTGCATTTAACACTATATAATCTGCACGATACGGAAGCCGCCCATCAATGGTGCTTCTAACATTAACAGTGATTTGAACTGTAGCCCAGTCGAGTTATCAAATGAATACGGCAAAAAATAACCTCACTTATCCTAAAATTCTTCGCAAAATGGCGAAAACAGAACGATGTTATTTAAGTAAGTTCAAAACTGAACTACAAAGGAAAATTTTTAACTTAAAAGTTTCTAGTACTTTTTTATTACGTTATTAGTGATGTTTGTTTTGTTTTACTTTTCTTTTTACAGATATTAATGAGTGTACAACCAACGTCCATAACTGTGATGTTAATGCTTTCTGTAATAACACTGATGGATCTCATAACTGCACATGCAGCTCTGGATACACTGGAAATGGAACATCATGCCGTGGTAAATTATCAAGCCAAATGCATTTTAGGGCGGGGCTTTACCACCACACAGATTGCTCGATCTTCAAAGCGTGGAAACTTTGGTTAATTTTTGTCTGAAACTTCACGGAATCAGATTACTGAATAAATTAATGTTCTAAAATTTGCATCATTTTTAATTGGACTCGTTGAAATGTTTTTAGGGACCACTGACTTACTTCCCGTCGTCAGATAAAAGCTTTTAATCGGACTTTGAATGACTTTTTATTGTAAAAAGTTTTAAATTGCCAGTTAGTAGAATGAGTTTATTTTTTTGCTAAACCAGTCTTTAAAACTCAAGGTCAGGCCAAAAACTGTCGTTAAAGTAGCTATTATAAAAACTAAGAGTGCAACCATTGCTTTTCTCTGTTGTCCTTCTTTTCTTCTCATCACTCTTTCTTTTTCTTCCTTCGTTACTATGATTTTGGAGCTTCTCGGGCTTAAGAAACCTGCCTTTTCACACCTTTTCACTCAAATGACTGCAAATTTCATTAGGGTAGTTTTTAGAAAATCGACCAGATATATAAAGCTATGTTTACAGTACACAGGGTAGCTCTTGGTGGAATGAAGTATAATTAACCACTCCAGAAAATACCATAACATACCATAATGCTCTTTGTTTGTCATCCCAAAATTTTGCATAAGCACTTTTTTCAGTTTCTCTTGGGGCCATTTTAACTCCCAAGAGAAACTGAAGACAATGCTTATGCAAAAATTTGGGGCGACAAACAAAGAGCATTATGGTATGTTATGGTATTTTCTGGAGTGGCTAATTATCACTCCGTTCATCTCATAAGGATAACAATTGGAGTCATAGTACAGTCAAAAACCGCTCGTAAAAACCTACATTTTTTAATGCCTGCAACAGCCCCCCACGCAGGCTCTTTTAGGGGAGCTCGTATTTCGTCCCTCCCCACAAACGCCTGCTCAACCGAGAACAACATTCCTTTCCCATTGTTTTATTCACGTGGTACGTGACCAATCAACAGTTGTGAAAGAAAGTGTTGACCGGCTAAAGAAGGCTCGTAACCTCGTGGTAGTGTAAAAACGTGATCCCGGTTACCTTTTTCCTTCTTTTCTTTCCTTCGCTAAGGTTATGCAATGCACGGAGTATTCTAAAATCTGACTACATCTTACTTTTGCAGGTCCGAGTCTAAGAGTTATTAGAAGTCATAAAGCTTTCCTTGTGTTTCTTGCAGATCGAGTAATTATTGGGTTACCCTGCCTTCAAGGCCAACTTTCCAGAATTTGGAAAGTACAATGTGATTGGCTAAGCTTGGGAAAGTAATGTTGTTCTCGGTTGAGCAGGCGTTTGTGGAGAGGGACGAAATACGAGCTCCCCTAAAAACGCCTTCGTGAGAGGCTATGCCTGTAAATGCACTCCTTTTTTATGCTCGCCAGTACATGAATTTTATACACATGCTTTATTTGTGCGTATTTACATTGTCAAGCACACTTTTAATCTATGATATTTTGTAAATGTAACCTTAACTCAAGCCTTTAGTTGCACCTAAACGAAGTCCAGAGCTTACCCAAACTTAATCAAGAGCCACAAAAGACAATATTGACGCGAATTAACTTAGGTTAAATTACAATTATAACTACAATCAGTGTCAATTAATCAGCCCTTAACATGGTCGGTCGTTTGTCTTTCAAGGAAAGAAAGGTTCTTCAGCCATTTTTCCAGGCCAATCCTGTAAGGACATCAAAGAAAGTGGAGATTTTACTACAAATGGTACCTACTGGATCAGGCCTCAAGGATTAAATGTCAGCTTCCAAGGATACTGTGAAATGTCGTTCGTGGGAGGTAAGAACTTGAATATTCCAATATGGCATATCAAACGTAAACACGAGATCGAATGTTTCATCCTATATTGAAACACTAAAGAGAAATAATTGATTAAAAAGCACGTCGAGTAGAATTATAAAGTAGCGCGTTTTTGTTTTATTATCATTATAATCATTGATATTATTATTATTATTATCTCTTTTATCACAGTCTTTGCTGGTGTTCTTTTTGTGCATCAGCCAGGCGCAAACCATGCACCTAGAGCGTCAGTCACTCAAGTCAATCTTTCTGTTCATACACTGAGCACCTTTCTGAGGATTCGCGCAGATCCCAACATGCAGATCTTTTGAATCTATGTCATAGTAGCTCCCTCTGATACTTTCTTGATGTTTTCTACCATACCCTTCTTCACTGTACCAAGCGCACCAACAACCACAGGGATCACTACAGTTTTCATATGCCACATTCTCTGTATTTCTAGTTCTAGGTCTTTGTACTTGCATTTTTTTTCAATTTCCTTCAGTGCGATGTTTCTATCTGATGGAACAGTCATATCAATCAGTTTGCAGGTGGAATTCACTGAATCTTTAACGATGATGTCTGGTCTGTTCGCTGTTATAGTTCTATTAGTATTGACTGGCATGTCTCACATGATGGTGATGTTGTTATCTTTATATATTGTGCATCACGGTCTCTGGCTCGTGTTCGTACCATTTTTCTGTAATTTCTATATTACGATCTTTACAGATGCTCCAATGGAGATATGCTGCAGCATTATTGTGCCTGGAGATGTACTCTGTTTTGGCTAATACCTCACATCCAGATACAATACGAAGCACTGTCTCTTCATGTTGCGAACACATTCTGCATTTGCTCTCCACTTGCTGGCCACATATTACTTTCTGGTAGTTTCTGGCGTTTATTGCCTGGTCTTGAGCTGCTACAAGTAGTCCCTCTGTTTCTCCTTTCAAATTACTTGACAACCATTTGTTGGTGGTGACTGTCTACATGAGGCTTCTCTAGGATCTTTGGATACTGGCCATGCAATGCTTTGTTTTTCCACTTTTCTTCTTTCATTGACTTCATCTTGGACTTAAACACGTGTTTCAGGGCTTTAGCATTTTCAGAGGCAGATTTATCTTTTCTGTTCTCAATCTCTGGCATTGTTACTTCGCTTTTGAATTTAGTAGCATTCTTGGATATTGAATTTTTGGCTTTAAATCTTTCATGCTCAAGCACCTGCTTTAGTTATTGCCCTTCTTTGTGCTTCAGATAGTGATCAATCCCTATTGTTGCTGTTTTGAATGCTGTTTCTACATCAATCAGGCCCCTACCTCCATCTTTTCTTGGGATCTACAGCCTTTCCACATCTGCTTTAGGATGTAACATCTTGTGCGTGTTCAATAGTTTGCGTGTTTTTGTGTCAATCTTCTTCAGTTCTGAGATTTTCCAGTCAATGATGCCAAAGCTATATTGCACAACTGGGACTGCAAGACTATTGATAGCTTCTGTTTTGTTTCTTCCATTGAGCTCTGTTCCTAGTATTAATCTTACTCTCCTATTATATTCTTTTCTTATCTTCTCTTTCATTTTGCTATGCTGGATACCATCACTTTCATCTACACCCAGGTATTTGTATACTCCTTCCTGGTCCAACTCTTGTATTTCTGTGTCATCATCTATTACTATGTTTCCAGTTGAGGCTAGTTTACCTTTCTTGAAACTGGCTTTGGCACATCCGTTCTTGAAATTGGCTTTGGCACATTATTATCATTAACATTATTATTATTATTATTATTATTATTATTATTATTATTATTGCTGTTGTTGTTTATATGTTGTATCGGTGGTCACGTATTTCTAGGTCATCATGCTATTTCCTAAAGCCTTAGGTGTCTAGGATCCTTCTTAACTCATGATCTTTGCTGTTCCCAACAAGCAGGCTTTCTGGAGTAAGTTCAAGATCCCAGGTGTTCCTATCTTAGTAACTCACGTCATCAAGTTTTTGGTCACTACCTCAAGTGCCCAAATTACAATTGGAACAACAGATACCCTTTTGCAGTTCCAGTTCCAGTTCTAGTACTTGAGGACAGCTAAAAATGTCTAAATGACTGTTCAATTCATGCACAATTTTCGAAGCTTATCTTAAAAATCCCCTTAGTACGATTTTCTGAAGTTTAATTTTCACATTTCACTTGCCAAGCTAGGCTATTTTTAGTAGGAAAAACGAAACCTAAAATTTTCGGATTCAAAAATGTGATGGAGAGAGGAATCAGAAAATGCCTCCCTTTCGTAATACGTCAAATAGCATCTAAAATTTTCGGGAAAATAATACTCAAACCCTTGAAATTTCGAAACGATTCAAGTTCTTCAGTCTGGGATAACTGAGCAGATACAAATTTTATAGCCCCGTTTAGAATGCATTTCTAGAGAATTGAAAGTACTCTGGATAGGCTAAAAAGTGTTTTCAATGTATGTAGGAGGAAACCGTCGTTGGGTGCCCCCGTTTTTCTGCAATTCGGGTATCAAAAGGGCATGCCACGTCCATGATTTGGCACAAGGCTGCTCGCCTTTTCCAGTACGACTATATCGGGCCTGTTATGATCTAAATGATGGTTTGTTTGGATTTTGAAATCCCACAATAACTTTACTTGGTCATTTTCTATCACTGCCTCTGAAGAATGATGGTACCAAGTTTAGTTGCACCGCAGATCGTAATTTTGGCAGAGTTTCCAATGAACAATTTAGCAACCTGATCGTACCTCCAGTTCTTACATTGCTTTTGAGCTAATTTCTTGCATTCTGTTGTTATATGGCTGAAAGTTTCCTCCCTTTCACCCCATAGACGACACATCGGTGAAAAATTTTGCCTGTCAATTCAATCATGTTCCTGATGTAATTAGTCGGAAGGCCCTGATCTTGGGCAGCAGTTAGGATGTCTACAGTATCTTTCTTTACAGCACCTCTTTTCAGCCAATCCCAGGTCTGCGGGTCTCTAACTTCTTCAGTGCCCCTTATAACTGCCCATGCAAGTAGTGTCTTTTCTCCATATCTGCTTAATCTTCTTCGACTTACACTTCCCTACTCCACTCCTTCATCTTTCGTTGCCATAAGCAGCCTTTCAGGGCTGTTTACCACATACTGATAGAAACTGCCAATCTCGTTGTTCACACAATCTTCAACACTGATTAAGCCTTTGCCTTCCTGTGATCTCTTGACATATAGCCTGTCTACATCTACTTAGTGAGAATGAAGTGATCTATGAATCGTTAACAGCTTCCCTGTTTTTCTGTCCAATGCCCTTAATAAATTCATCCTTACTCTATCTGTTGATACCTGCCCTATAATTGTACTTCTAATGAAACTGCTCTTGAATTAATTTCCACCGTTCAACTTTGATTAAAGAATCTTTCTGATCCTCCTCAAATACTCCTTCGATATTGACTGTTTCATGTCATTATGCTTTACATCACCTGCCTCCAGTATTCCTAGATATTTATATCCATCACCTTCCTCAAATCCTCTGATGACTTGGGCATCCGGTAAAACAATACCTTCACATGCGCACGCTTTTTCCCCGTTTCATAATTATCACAGCACATTTCAGCGAATTCCGAATTCCATACCAATGTCTTTGCTGAAAATACAGACAGCATTTACTGAAGTGTCTACTTGTTTCTCATTCTTTTTATATAATTTTGAATCATCCATAAACAGGAGATGATTAATTAGGCCCAGATCATACCCAATCTTTATTTGCCTCAATTACCATGGACAAAGGAATGAGGGACACAACAAATAACAATGAAGATAAGCTATCCTCCCTGGAAAATTCCTCTTCTTATATTAACAATACCTAAGGTCTGTCTTCCTGTCATTAACTCCGTTCTCCACTGAGCCATATTTTTTTCTAATAAGGCGATCATATTAGTCGCTGTTCCAAACATCTGCAAGCACTTGATGATCCATGAATGTGGGATCATGTCATAGGCCTTTTTCGTAGCTAGTATACCCACGCCATCTCAAGCCCAGTTTGTCTTCCCTTACAATTTCTAAGCTATTTCTAATAACCTTGTCAAATAATAGCTGGTCTTTCATGCCCCTGGACTTTCTTCTGCATTAATTATCATTATTATTATTGTTATTATTATTATTATTATTATTATTATTATCATTATTATTATTATTATTATTATTATTATTATTTTATATTAATTCCTGTTTTTCCGAACCAACATACTGGATGAAACACACTGTCAAGTGTTTCCTTGATGAAATGTAATTGTTGGCCCATTTCAAGGGTCATTTTAGTTTGTGTTTAAATCCCAACCAATAACTAGTCTCGCAGAGATCTGAAAACTCTCGATCTCTCGCTATCTCAGACTTTCACAGGTACATTTTCGGTAACAATAACAGTATTCAATTTTGCAAAAACTCTCGTTACGAGGGCCAACGAGTAGCATCTTTGAACAATTACATCAGCCGTCGACAGAAGTAAGATTCATAGCATCTTATTTTCAGTTATTACTATTTTTACATCCGCGCTCAGAGGCCGAGTTTCATATTTGAATCAAAATCAGCAAAAGGCAGGCCTTCCCACTTACTCTTTACAAATTTATTATTTCTCATCTAATAACAATAATGGAAACTTTTAATTATTTGTGTTTTTGAATGTACAATTGTAAATCTCGCTACGTATAGGCAATTTACAAATGCTGCTTGAGATTGGATTATTAAAAAGAAAGAAACAAAACAAAACAAAAACAAAAACAAAACAAAATCAAAATTGCATTAAGTCTGGGCTATCCCAGTTCCTATTTCTACAACAAAAGATGTAATATGTTGCTCTAATGGCTATATTTATCATTTTCTTGATTATATAACGTTGCTGCTTTTTGTCAATGCCAATGTCATCCATCATGTCTAAGAACGTGGAGCATTCTTTGGAGAAAACGCCAAGAGAACTCATGGAGAGATTTACAAATCTCACACGTCTGTAATTTCTACTCATTTCGTTGATCAAGTTCAGATATTCTTCTTTCTTACGCACTGCATTGTTGTTAAGGTTAGACTCAAAACCAACTGTTAATTCTAGAACATAATAGGCACTTGGACTGGATTAGGAAAAGAAGATCTGGACGATAATTTTCACCAGTTATTTTTGAGGGATCCAGAAAACCATTAACATCTGCATAGAGTGAAGAGTGAACATTAATTACAGGTTGAAGTGACTTGGCAATGAAGTTAAGGATTGAGTCGTGTCTCTAGGTAAAGCGATTAAGCTACTGTTGACAACCAGCGACAACATGAAGGGGTGATTCAGGATTAAGGCAAAAGGAGCAATCAGTACTTTGTGATAATCCCCATCTTGCCATATTCTTACGTGTAGGGAGGGAGACGGAAATCTTTAAGAACTTCCTTAGTGGACTTGTACACATCATATTGAATATTAGTGTGACAGCTTGACGATTTCCAGAGATCTTTTAAAGAATCATTTGGTGACTCTTTTAATGAATTTCGGAGAACTGTTTGGCACTGAGTAAATTTAATAGAGGGAGGACAAATATTAAGACCAAATTTGTTGCGTTCTAGGAAAACATTGCTCAGTGTTCCAGATATCGGAATATCAAGCCATTTTCCAATATAGCCATTCACTACAGAGTCGAGATGTTCCGTTATCCAGGTTTTGGATATATTAGCTATAGTGAAATGCCAGGACAATTTAGATAGGACATGGCGGCTAATAATAATAATAATAATAATAATAATATTATTATTATTATTATTATTATTATTATTATTATTATTATTTAGGTGTGCTGTACAAGCCAGCTAATCACCTAAATTATCAGCATTATATACACTTCAAAAAAGTCCCTGTTTTCTACATACGGTTTTGTTTCATTCTGAAAGGAAACATTTGGGAAATAGTTCATTTCCTTTCGCGAATTGATGCAATTTTTAGATCAATGAAATAAATATTTACCTTTCTCTCGTTATAACTCTTAGAATGGATGAACGTATCTCAGTCTTGGATTGAAAACACTCTCAAAGGCGGCTTGACGCTAACCTACAGCGAGGACGGCAATGGTCTTATCATCTCTGGCACTGAGACTTCATATGGTTGTGGCCGCCGTCCTCAGTCGGGTGCCTTGACACTAATCAAAGGCTACTGGACGAAAATTAAGTACACGCAAGAATTTCGTGGTGTAACATCATGTTGGAGCATATTTGGAGACGACCAGTAAGTTGACACTCTCTTCTCCTATAAGATACATCTAAATTATATCGTATCTATGTCCTAAATCTCAGCAAAATTTTATGCAGTTGGTATAAGTAAAATGAAACCTTTTTGATTGAGAGTTAATTAGTGATAAAACAAAACCTCAGCCTATGAAATCAAACGGAAGGATAATTTTGTGAGAAAAAGGGAAGGTGGATCAAGAGTCAGAGTTCAAACCATTAATCTGATCATACGAGGCCCCCTAACAATATTCAGAGCAGCAGGGCATTTGAGGCCCCCACAAAACGCCAAACCAAACGTTTATCTGGAAACATTTTTAAAGTCGTCGTGACATGTAAGCTGACATTGACCTTACCATGGCAACCGAGTTTTGACATTTTAGTTTTTCAAAATCTGCATTTTTCCCGTAAAACGTTTTATTTCTAGATTTACTAATTTATTTATTTTATTAGACTTGATTTACCATTATTTTATCAAATTTAATGTAATTCGGGTTTTTTAGTGTGTTATTTGAGAAATGCGTGAATCTTAAATGATTAAATGGCAGATTCAAGATGGTGGGAGAAAAGTGAAAGAATAGAGTGTTTTCACATGACGTCAAGGCAGCCATATCGGTGTCCCAAAACAATGAAACAAGGGCCATGTTGGTGTCCCAAACCAGTCCTGTACTATTTATGTGAGAGTTGAGTTCCTTTCTTATGCAAACGCTTTCTTTTGTTACAATAAATTTTGCATAGATACTAGCTACGTGAGTGAAAACACTCTATAGATGGAACTTTGGTTCTACTGGTTCTGTCAATAACATGATATCAAATTACGTTATTGTGCGAATCAAGTCATATCTCGATGTTGGATATGATAAGTACATTATTCTGTGTAATCTTAGTAACCTTAAGGTGGGTCGATACAGTTTTTCAGGGTCAATACCTCCCAAGTTTGAGCATAAACTACGTCGCCAAAAACAAAGTTTTGGAAAAATTGCCACCACAGTTGTATTAGATAAAGATGAAAATTTGTTCTGATCAGGGTTGCAACGGCATCGGAGTTGTCATAGCAACGAAATGACGCCATTACCTATTTTACTTGCAGCAGTATATCTCGGCACTGGGAACTGTTCTTCGAAAATCATTCACGGGAGCTTTTTCCTCCAATAGCAGCCTCGATGTTCGTGAAGTTTAAGCGAAATCTGTAAGAGCGTTATCGAGATATTGTGGGATAAAGTTTTTCTTGTTAGAAACACAGTAAAAAATGGACAATATTGTTGTTTGGCCGTTATCTGTAGAAAATGAAGCGCTTTCATAGTAGTTTCAATCTTTTTAAAAGCGTGTGTGAAAGATTATGGGAGATAGCTCCAGCCGATTGCTAGAAAGAACGGTTTGATTATTATGTATCGAAGCGCTCTTGTTAGCGGTTTTGTAAACATTTTGGTCTACTTTAACAAATTAGCGAATAATTTTTAAACCGCTCGATAGATTGTTTTAAAAATTTAAGATTCTTGAGATTAACCTTCCTTTTATATGACCTTTTATAGTTTCAAGATTATTGATATATTGTAACGCAGTAAAATAAGGACTACAATTCGTTACTTTTTTATCGGAAGTTTCGTCATTACAAGTGAAAGCCTCTAATTATTCAAGACATTGTCTCCAAGTTTCATTTTCACGTGAACAGCAGTAGCTAACAATGCACTTGAAATATGCAAAAATGCTAGCTATTGTTGTGCACGAAAATATGAAACTTGGACATAATACCCTGAATAATGAGAGGATCACACTTGTAAAAACAAACTTTCTGCCAAAATATTAGCGAATTGTAGCCCTTATTTTACTGCCTTACAATATATCAATAATCTTGAAACTAAAACGGTTACATAAAAGGAAGGTTAATCTCAAGAATCTTAAATTTTTTAAAAAATCTATCGAGCGGTTTAAAAATTATTCGCTAATTTGTTAAAGTAGACCAAAATGTTCAAAAAACCGCTAGCAAGAGCGCCTCGATACATACTAATCAAACCCTTTTTTCTAGCAATCAGCTGGAGCTATCTCCTTGATCTTTCACACACGTTTTTAAAAAGATTGAAACTACTATGAGGTGAAACTGCATGTCAAAAGCGCTTTGTTTTCTACAGATAACAGCCGACCACCACGATTGTCCATTTTTTACCGTATTTCTAATATTTCGATAACGCTCTTACAGATTTCGCTTAAACTTCACGAACTTCGAGGCTGCTATTGGAGGAAAAAGCTCCCGTGAATGATTTTCGAAGAACAGCTCCCAGTGCCGAGATATACTGCTGCAAGTAAAATAGGTAATAGCGTCATTTCGTTGCTATGACAACTCCGATGCCGTTGCAACCCTAATAAAAACAAATTTTCATCTTCATCTAATACAACTGTGGTGGCAATTTTTCCAAAACTTTGTTTATGGCGACGTAGTTTATGCTCAAACTTGGGAGGTATTGACCCTGAAAAACTGTATCGAGCCACCTTAAATGCAGTTTTAAAGTTACTTATTATTCCACTATTATGTCATTTTACCATATAAGGTCAAGAGAACAAGCAAAATACGAGGCCGTAATACACCGTAGTGTCCTGGTTTAACCGGTTTACAACAGGGCGAATACCGGCGGATGCAAAAGGAGCAACTGTGGCTGACAGAATCAGGATGTTTTGGATACTCTCATTAGAAAATAGAAGCCAAAATACCATTTTTCTTTTGCAGTAAAATAATTAACCTATCATTGAATGGTTTGGCATCATACGCGCGAACAGTTTGCTAATTGTTAACATCATTCTCACAGACAGAATCAGGATGTCTCTGAATACTCTTACCAAAAAATAGAAGCCAATAGCCAGATAATTTTTTTTTTGTAGTGGAATAATAAACCTCTTATTCGATGGTTTAGCATATAATACGAGCGGACATTTTGTTCATTGCTCGTATTTTTCCTCGCCGCTGCGGGGCTAGGAAAAATACTACGCAACTGGCAAAATATCCGCACGTATTATATGCTAAACCATCGAATAAGGTGTATATAATGCAAGCATTTCAGCGACAACCCCGGACAAAACCTGTTGAGACAAATCGCGAAAATGCCTATTTTTTCCTGTCATCCCGGCAGAAACTGAAACCTCCGCCAAATGAATGCCCGATTTCCCCCCTCCCCTTATCAAAAGTTGTTTAGGATAGGATGGCAATTATACACGTTGGTTTTTAGACCATGAAAACTTTGAATAGGGGGTGGGGAGGGGGTTTACTTTTTGTGTTTAGGGGAGACGGGAGTAGGGCGCAAAAGTTAGAAAATAGATGGAATTGTCTCAACAGTTTTGTCCGGGGTTGTAAGCCCTCCGGTTCTAGGAAGCAAAACAGCCTAGCTGGCTCAAAATAGGATTAAATTCACTTGTAATTTGCGCCTAAAAGCATCCTCTCCAGTATGGACGTTTTTACAGCTGTTTCGGATAACACGCGACCTATGTGGTCAAAAACGGTTCGGGATTTTGGGATTTTCTTTGACGTCAATCAAACCGTTACCATAGGATCCAATGAATCCTTGCTTGTCAAATAAAGGCGACATCCGTTTTCACCCTCCCATATCTGTGGTTCTTCTGGATTTGGAAGCTCTCGGAAACAATTTCATTTTGGGAATCTAAACTTGCCATGTTTCAGTAAGCGGATAAAGAAAACTTGAGAGCTAAAAAGTGAAAACGCGCAAAATATGAAAAGCAACGAACCTTGAAACACAGAGACACACAAAACGGATTCAAGTCACCAATCTCAAATCACAAATCATGACCTTTTGAGGCCGTTTAAGTAAACTTCTCTCAGTGTTTCCTAAGAGGTCCGCTAAGAAGGCTCCGAGCCTTCAGGCCCCAGTCGTTCAAAAGGTGGATAGCACTATCCATTGGATAAATCACTATCCACTGGATAACGCAATTAGTTTTCGTAATACTCATCCTTTGGATAACGATTTATCTGGTGGATAGCGTTATCCAACTTTTGAACAACCGGTGCCTGATTTTGATTGACGTCGCAGAAAAACCCAAAATCCAAAGACTTTTTTTGACTCTGACAAGCCTTTTCCAAACAAAATTTGACGTAGCACGCCCGAGCACTTGTTCACTTGTAAGATCGTGCGCATGCCATCGCCCATAGTGCACACACAATATTTCATTTTCATTTTTGTTTTTTGTATGTATGCTGTATAATTGCGTAATTTATAGCTTTTTTCCAAACTACCTATTTGGGCGGTACCTTGTATGGATCCATATAGTCTCGTTCGTGCTGGCCTCTTCGGGGCACTATAAAGATTTTTTTCTTTTGGTCTCATTTTTCATTTTTTTTTTTTTTGTTATTTTGTAAAACGTTCGTATCTAATTTTCTTTAAGTTAATGAAACCCAATGAAGTTGTTAAAATAATAAACAAAATCTTACTTGTTACTTTTATAATATGAGCAATTTAAAATTTTTAAATGGTTCGGCTGAATTATAGCTATGGTCAGGAATCTGTAAACAGCCACAGCGGACTGCATGCATTCAGCTTTGACGACGGAGACTCGATAACGAATCAGTACTACATGGGGGGAAATTGTAAGTAGATGAGTTAAAATACGAAGATTTACTTTATGGTCCGTACCGATACCTTTACCGTGACTTTATGTTTAGGCCTCCCTGCGTTCCTGCAGGCGTAATGAAAGGAAATTCACCTGTAAGGTCGTCGATCAAGATTCCTACCAGCCCAGTTGCCCAGTTTTCTGCTTGAATTCAATACAACACTAGTCATCTCAAGGAAATTAAGGCATGAGTGTTTTTCTTAATTTCTCTCACAAAGTTGAGGGGTGGTCTAAATTTTGAGGATTAAGGCCTGTTAGCGACAATACTTGAGTAAAATAATGACTCTCAAAAGTTTATTAGGTCACGTGACCTTTATGGCTATTTTGCGTGAAAAAAAACCCAGTCCCCTAATCAAACGATTTTCGAATTTCGTCCCTGTCGAAAAGGCCTGGACACAGAATTGATGTACCGAATAGTCTCATAACTATGACGATAACTGTAACTTCCAAAAAGTAATTAAAAGTGATGCGATATTGCCAAATATAGCTTTAATAGCGCACGTGACAATTAGTCACTCCAATCATCATTCAAAGCTATTAAACTTATACCAAGGAAAACTGTCCTTAAGTTATTTTGTGCCATATTGAAAGCTTAAGAAGTTAGACCATCCCCCCTGTTTTTGAGGAATTATATCTAAGACCCATACCTTAATTTTTTTGAGATTGTTAAATCTGACAGTATACTAGGAAGTATAGTCTAAAATTCACTACTCAAGTATGCAAGTAAATGTAGCTGCGTTCAAAGATCTTCAAACCAATTCAATTTTCTAACAAGTTTACTATTAAATATGATTCGCGAAGATTAACCTGGCCTCTTTTTAATGGAATATTTTAAAATGTATGCATCTTATCCTACAGCGCATGACTTTGACGGCATTCCAAGAAAATGCGACGGCAACCTTGTGACGAACTTTTGGCGCAATCCCAATCCAGCAGTGCGGTATGCCACAGTTATTTTGCGACGCAATCTGACCGCCCAGAAGGCTGGAATTTTTACCGGTACTTCATGCGGAACGCCAACATATAGAATTAAAGACATCTCTATATCTTTTTAGACCTGATTCTATCATTAATCAAGGAAACAAAAAACAATAATGGCTTGCTTGCAGAGGGCCTGAGATTTTGTCATTTGCAAATATTTTGTTTTTGTTTTTGTTTTTTTTTTTATCAGCGGGAACTACAAAATGTATAGGCATTCTAAAGAAACCAAAAGCCATTATAGGCTGACTCATTTGCTAGCTAGCTGTGAACCTGAAGAAAATAGTACGGTATTTTTGTTTGTCTACTTCAGTCGACTCCCGATAACTCGAACCTTCTAGGGAAATCGAAAAAAGGTTCGAGTTATCGGGAGTTCGAAGAAAATAGCCAAAAGTAAAGTAAAAAACAGTTTTTACTGCACAGTAAACATTTTAATCACATTTAATTGTAGACATGTCAAGTGAAAATTAAAAGATACTTCTAGATTATAAATCAGAACGTAACATAACAAAACATAGCCTAAATAGAGCATGCGTTTTGCTGTCAACTCGTCAACAGGAAATCCAGAATTCAATGTTTCGGACGCCAGCATACGGCTTTTTTCCCGACTTTTTAAGGGGTCAAAAAAAGGTTCGAGTTATCGAGGGTAAAATTATATAGAAAATGGCCTGAGGGAGAACGAAAATTGGTTCGAGTTAGCGGGAGTTCGAGTTACCGCGGGCAAAATTGCAGTGAATGTATGACCGAAGCAGGGGAAATCTATTTTGGTTCCAATTAGCGCAAGGTTCGAGTTAGCGAGGGTTCGAGTTATCGGGGGTCGACTGTAGTTTATGAAAATATCGTTTCTCGCCAAGCCTCATTTAGAGTGAAAAAGTATTTAGAATCTCGTTTGCTCATGCTAAAGAACATGCAAGAATAATTATTGCTGGCGACAAAAGGAGCCCACCACCCAGCTACTCTTGACCAGCGACACTCTTTTAACTGTGTAGCAAGATTTTTCCCAAAACTGTCCACACTCTTGGAATTCCCGTGTTGTACCACTAATATGCATGGTCTGTGGCCGCGAAGGCCCTCGTTTGATGTCACGGTAATCACGTGAATGCGCATTACAGGTACACAAGTACTGTACTATAAAAGAGGGGACTTTTCAATTTGCCTTGCCGGCCTAGAATCTATTTACCCAGGAAAATGAAAGTAGAGCCTGATCTCAGCTTAGTGCGGGATTAGGTAAGATACGACTGCTAGCAAAGTCTAGAGATCGATGTAAACTACAGTGCATGGTGTTTATATGTTTATACGTTTCCAAGCATGTTACGTCGCTTGTCATCCGAAAGCTTCAATAATTTTCTTTTTTTATTTCCTATCAATGGCCTTTGGTCATTGAACACGCATTGAATATTCGATAGAATAATAACACTTCGTGCAAGGACTGTATACACGCATCACTTGTGTCACGCATTACTGTTTCAATTTATCTTTGTCTGCGAATACAAACGTCTCTCCTCCCTCGTTACCGGCTAATTATATCTATAAGCAACTGCGAATAAAAT